AGTCCCAGCTACTTGGGAAGCAGAGGCAGGAGAATTGCATGAGCCCAGGAGTTGGAGGTTGCTGTGACCTGTGATGCCATAGCACTCTACCCAGGGCGACAGCTTGAGGCTCTATCTCAAAAGAACTAAACTAAACTAAAAACAAAAGTCATGCTGACAATACCTGGGCACAGTGGCTTACATCTGTAACCCTAGCACTTTGGGAGGCTAAGGTGGGAAGATCACTTGAGGCCAGGAATAAGAGATCAGCCTGGGTGATGTAGCAAGACCCTGTCAGTTAAAAAAAAATTGGTGGGCTTGGGGCCCGTAGCACAGTGGTTATGGTGCCAGCCACATGCACCAAGGGCTGCAGGTTCAAACCCAGCCCAGCCAGCTAAACAACAATGACAACTGCAACAAAAAAGTAGCTAGGCATTGTGGTAGGCACCTGTAGTCCCAACTAACTACTTGGGAGGCTGAGGCAAGAGAATCACTTAAGCCCAAGAGTTTGAGGTTGCTGTGAGCTGAAATGCCACGGCACTCTACCTAGGGCAACATAGTGAGACTGTTTAATGGCACTCTACTCCGGGTGACATAGTGAGACTGTTTAAAAAAAGAAATTGGTGTGCAGGATGACACACACCTGTAGTCTCAGCTACTTGAGAGGCAGGAAAAGTTTGAGGTTGCCGTGAGCCAGATGATGCTACTGCACTCTAGTCAGGATGACAGAGGGAGACCCCATTTCAAAAATAAAATGAAATATGCTAAGAATAGGAAAAAGAAAACTGTTAGTGGGTGATAGATGTGATCAGATCAGAAGAATGTTGATTACTGAGCCTGGTGATTAGGGACATGTGGGTTTCACTGTACTGGTCTCTCCACTTCTGTGTATGTCTGAAATTGTCTGTGATGAAAATATAAAATGATGCATTCAGTCGTGGAGTGAAGAGCAGCCTTACAGATTAGTGCTTTCTCTGTGTTTTGCCAGACATTATGAGAGAGGTCTAGGTTGAGATACTTGATTTCCACGAGTTTCAACAGCTGGTCAGGATAACCTAAGATGCTTCCCTCTTTCTTACTGCAGACAATATAACCACCAACTACCCTGCCAGCCTTACTTCTTTCCACCCCTCCCATACTGATTAAAGACATGGCTTAACTTTTCCTATCACAGAAGACCGAGTTGTTTTGAGCTTTCCTGCCCTCTAGGTTTTGCTGTTTTCTCTTGAATACTTCATCTCCCCTCCTTCTGGCTAAATATTCAAAGTAATTCATAAAATACTTTTCGTGCATGAACTGTGCAAGCATACCTCACTGATGATACGGGACTGGTTCCAGACTACTGCAATAAAGTGACTATTGCAATAAAAAAAAAAAGAAAATATAAAATGAAATGGTATGTTCAGTGTGTGATACACAGTCACATGGCTGTGGGTCATGCCTCAGCAGTCACAGTACATTCATCTGGTCAAAAGCTAAGGAGCAAAAAACCCACGAAAGCTAGGGAGCAGCAGCCGAGTATCTGTGAGGCAGGCTTGAGGGTGCGTGGGGGGAGAGGGTAGATCCCTCAGGTGTCTGTATTTTTAAAAAGCTTCCCCATTGATTCTATGAGGACTGAAAACCACGCATGTAAGGGACACCAGGAAAGCTTCCCTCTGACCAATCTGAGGGGCTCTGAATTTCATCTCTGGAAGCCAGAGTAACCTTCCAGGATATCCTGGGCAAAAACACCCCGAAGAAGGGTGAATTTTGGTGAAGGAAACAAGAGATCAAGAGAGACAGACAGAAAATAAGACAGATACAAATCCTAAAATGGGGCTCAGTGCCCATAGCTCAGCAGTTAGGGCGCCGGCCACATACACAGAGGCTGGCAGGTTCGAACCCAGCCCTGGTCGGCCAAATAATGATGACAACTACAACATAAAATAGGCGGGCGTTGTGGTGGGCGCCTGTAGTCCCAGCTACTTGGAAGGCTGAGGCAAGAGAATTGCTTGAGCCCAGGAGTTTGAGGTTGCTGTGAGCTGTGATGCCACAGCAGTCTATCGAGGGCAACATAGTAAAACTCTATGGAAAAAAAGGCCTAAAATCCATGACACACAGGTGGGAAGTGACAATGAAAATCCTGGTCACTGTTAGGACCATAAGTGTCCAACTGAGAGCTGGAGGAAAATAGTCATAGTGCTCTGCACCCACTGTACTGAAACCACCTGTCTATCCACCCCTTAGTTACTCA